GAATGCCAGTAAATCAGTCTGATATCTTGCTACAAGTCGGCTAAAGGGGCTTGCAATATCAGCGGATTCTCTCACGTGCGCTATTGCAAATATAAAAGAACAGTGTGAATACAAGCAATGGACATTAGCACTTTGGAACTAGCATTGTAACAGTCTCTAAAGGGATAAAAATTAAGAGATATAAAGCGCAGGGGAGGGGGTTGAGGGAAGGGAATATTATGGGACAAAAATGCATACCTTGGACTGGAGTTGTTTCATAAGAGGATGATAAGCTGCTAGATAATCATTTTCATCAGTGATATTAGTCTTGTCAAGTTGCTGATACGTTGTAGGATTGGTATAAACTTCTCCACCTCCTCATTCTTTTGCGGTTGAACCATTGCCACGGCCTTCGTAGGTCCGTTGTTCCTGTTCAGCTTGATCTTTTGATTTCTCGTCATACACCAGGAGTTGATAGGCATTCTCTTGTGTGTCGACGTCGTGCACTTGATGTTCTGGTTTATGGACTATAATGGTGTCAATGATATGAACAAAAGTAAAGAGACTCGTAAATTAAGACACATGAAATGTAGTAACCATTAACTCTAATTTGGCAGATACAAAAATTTATAAATTTAAGAGAATACTATGGAAACTATATAACAAAGCTAAAGAAAACAAGATCCATGCAGTGAAGACGTTCTTTTTGGAATATACATCCTGGAAAGGCTTTTAGAAACTGAAGAAAAGTATTCATCGTTATTTCACGTGCAGAAGAAGAAGAGGAAGTCCTAGTCCCTGACAAATTACGGATGTGATCTCATGCAATACATGATTTTTCCAGGTCTGATTTTCGCTATTGCATAAATAGCGCTCTCTACTGCGAGGATCGTGCATCATACGTATTTTAAATTTATTTTACGCGGATGCTGGTAATACAGAAGCTACTGCAATGATTAACATCAGGAAAATGGGAAGGACAGGAAAAATAACTAAAAGATATATCATAATGAAATTAACTCACTTTCTTTGCCGTTTCCCAAGAGCCAAGCTGCTATGAAAACCATGGCGGCAACTACGACAAGTGAAGATAACATAGACACAACCATAACTGTTCTTTTTCTGCTGCTGTTTACGTCATGTGACTTGTCTATTATCTTGCCTTTACCAGGACTCAGTGCTCCTTTCTGCCGTTGTCATGGAGAGAACAGTTGGTGTCTCCTTAGGTATAGTGTTGATATGACTGGAGGAAGTCGGCGGAGTCTTAGATGATTTTGTTGATAATTCAGTCTGGCTGATGTGGGTGGTTCCTGTACCGTGTTCTTTTGTGGATTGGATCTGTATAGCTGGTTCTTTTGGTTGTCGTTTTCCTGTCGTTACGTCTGCTTTGGTTGTTTGTGGTAGTGTTTCTTATAATGTGGCAGTTTCTGTTGTTGTCGATTTTGTTGTGGTGTTTCTTGTTGTTACTGTTTTCGTCCACAGTGAATGTGATTTATTTCGCAGTAAGGGTGGGGGGTTACAAGGATTAAAAATTACTCAAGAAAAATAAAGAAAAATAAAACCTTACATAATTGACACTGCCCGCAAGTAGCACAGGCTAGTCGCGGCGGGCAGTGACAACAATTTGTTAAGAGTCTGAAGCAAATCATAAATGAAAAGATCATTACAGCTTAAGTATAAGAACAAAAAGAAAAGAAAAAGAACAGCAGATAAATAAATGCAAAAATATATAAAATAATTAAATTAATTAAATAAATTCATAAAAATAAGACAATATAAACATACAAAACTCGCTATTTCAGGCACAAGGAGCAGTTGAGGCTTGAGAAGATATCATAGGCCGCGAATTTTTTGGAGAAGAGATGCCTAATCGATATAGTTATCCTCAACGGCCAGGATATTCAGAATTGTACTATGGATTTTTTCCTTAAACTGTTTACGAGTCAGATCACGTGTAGTGATACTCAGAGAATTCCACAGGACAGTTCCAAATCTAGCAACAGAATTCCGCATAAGGTTTAATGTAGAAGGTTTAACATAAAAATTTCCTGCAGAAGCTGATCTGGTGTTATATGAGTGTATTTTTCTGGAGCGAGTAAAGGAGTCACAGAGGTTTTCCGGTACATCGTCATTCGAGACATCAAGCCTGAAAACAGAGACAGTTTCGAAATAGAGTAGCTCTACCGCTAGAATATTAGATGTCACAAAGAAAGGAAGAGAATGATCTCTGCATGGGAGGAAATGAATAAGGCGTGTGACACGTTTCTGTAACACCAAAATCTTATATAAAGTTGATTTAGTAGCTTGACCCCATGCAATAAGGCCATAAGACAAATACGGGAAGATGAAAGGTCTATAAAGGTTGAGGAGAACACTCTGGGGAACAAAATGTCTCAGTCTCGCAATGACGCCAATCAATCAATCAATCAATCAATACTTTATTTACCCACGTAGCGTCAAGGAGCTCATAGAGCTCGTTCAAAATACGTACGTGCCTCTAAGATTAAGAATATAAAAAACCTAATACATACTTTCAAAACCTAATTGATTAGAAATTAAAATAACTAACAATTAGTATTAATAGCTTTACCGATAGTTTATTAATATTAATAGTTTTACGAATAGTTTTACTGATTTTGGTAGTAACAATCAATATGTGGTTTCCGCGTAAGGTGATTATCGATCAAAACTCCTAGATATTTCACATATACCTTCTGTTGGAGATAAGTAGAAGAGTTAGTATTGTTGTCTAATAATTTTATTTTAACTTGATGATTAGATCTACGTCCTTTGGGTTGAAAAATAAAAAAGTTAGACTTTTTAACGTTAAGCGTTAATTTATTGGCATTAAGCCAATCCCAGACCTTTGACAGCTCCGCTGTAACTATAGTCTCTAAGGACTTAAGATTTTTATCGCCATACAAGAGATTGGTGTCATCAGCAAACAAATGAAATTTAAATTTCTCAGAGCACTATAGATATCATTAACATATAGCAAAAATAACAATGGGCCAAGCACGGGGCCCTATGGGACTCCATAAGCCACTGTTCTTTTCTCTGCAACTGTACATTCAATTTGTGTCGATTGTGTACGATTGCATAAATAGGACATAAACCAAGAGTTAGCTACACCTCGAATTCCGTAGTGGTCCAGTTTCTAAAGTAATACTGAGTGGTCAACTGTGTCAAAGGCTTTCTTGAGGTCAGATTAATTTTTTTATCCATATTTTCCTGAATAGTGTTAACAATATCAAGAATTGCGTGTTGTGTCGAATAGTTCTCTCGAAAACCGTACTGGCCATAAAATAAAACGGTATTTTTATCAATAAAAGCTTTAAGACGTCTAAACATTAGTTTTTATACAGTGGTTTTGTTGTGGATGGTTTTGGGGCTGAAATTGTAGTCGCTCATTTTTCTGTGGCTAAAGATGAGCGAGCGAGTAAATTAGCACAATGGGAACTTTAAAAATGAATCTCTTGTTCGTGATCTCATTTGTCCCTCGTAATAGTCTCCTCTCTTTTTTCCTTTAAATTACGTATACATTGGTTTTGGTTTCACACAATCCAAATGCGCTCCATGAGAGATTCATTCTGTTGGATCGACCCACCACCCCCATTCCCTCCCCCCTACACACGCACACACATACACACACACACACGCGCGCGCACGCGCACACGCACGAACATACACACGCACGCACGCGCACACGCACGCACACACAGACACACGCACGCACACGCTACTTTTTTATTACTGTACCACTGTCTGACAGACCTGTGAAACTTCCAGCAGTCTTGAACAAGAAGCAGGAAGTGAAATCTTTTCCTTGGCCTCCTTTACATTTCTGTTTACACTTTACGTTTATGTCAGCAAGGTTCTCCGTTAAATTCGTTACCGCTGAATTGTTCCACTGTAAAAGACATAGACACTGAATAAATACAGTGAAACGGAAAACGAAAATTATTTTCTTTACTGATATGTCGTTGCTGAGATCCCCGCCGAAATTGATCCGCACTTTTTGGAAAGATAACTTTTTTGAGAGAAGGAGGTTGCGAGTTTTAAATGCAACCAGCTTGAAATTCAACTGGCACCGTAATTGCGTAGGCATCAACGCTCACGAGTAAGATGGGATTCCTATGTTTTTTACGTGATGATCGATTGGCATGATATGAACATCTAAGAATCAACTGGTTTTGTTCTATCTTTTAAGTAATTTTTTTTCATTGCCCGGGTGGGCCGATATCAATATATGTTCAAGTGTAATTTATCTCAAAGAACGTTAACCCATTGATGATTTGAACCGCTCAGAAAGATATCCCAGCTGGCTCGAATGGCCTTATTTACCTGTAATTAGATATCTTTCTTATTTTTCGTGGTCCAAAACCTTCCCTGGAGGTCAGTAAAGTTCGTCCATTGGCTACCCCCCTCCCCACATGGCGAGCTGCTTCCACATCACACAACTCGATATCTTTAGGTTTGGGTTGGCAAAAATTTTATCTTGATGTCTGATTTTGTTTGGAAGTTGATAAGAGGCGAAAGCCAGGGGTTGGCCTTGCAAACATCTTTACTATGTCTACTTTGATCATCATCGTCCTCATCATCATTGCCACTAGCTTTTACTTCGAGGCGAGCACCACATCCTAACAGAATACAGCTAAGATAAGGCATTCCGCTCGATCCTTTAACTTTCTATATCTGATGAGTCATTCTCTCTCTACTTGCTATATACATACATTACTTCCTTAATCTAGTTGGGAGAATATGAAATTAAATTGAAATGACAACCTTCGTATGGCACGTTAGCGAATGCTCATCGGTCCTTGTCAGCTGTGTGATGGATGGGAGGTAACACATTTGTCTAACATAAGAGTTTTTGGTAATAATTTGGTAGGATATTTTCTGAGTTAAGATTCCTCGGTGACCATCGCTTCTTAAAATGAAGTAATAACAAATTTTCTGCTACATGTAGAATACAAGGATTATTCAGGGTTTTATCAGCGACAAAGTTGAGATGTAAAACGATGGATTGTAAGTTAATGCAATCATTTTCATTTGCGCCAGCGTGCTTCATATTCCTAATATGTAGGCTGATGGCGGGAGGATATGCACCTTTCGTGATCTCCAAACTTCTTGCGCGCTTCAACCATTGATGGGTGAGACTTAAAGTTTACAATAATCAGTTCAGTTATGCGTAAACGTCATTGTTATGTAAAGCACACGTAAAGTTTTGAGAGCATGAAAGATGTGTCATTGTCGGTGGAGGTGTAATCGAGAGCAATTCTAACCTCTTGAAGGCTCTCCAAACTTTCGAAGTGCTTCATTCTTTGGCGAACGCACAGGTGACATCTGAGACAAATCAGTTTTCTAACCTTTTCAACGTCGTAGCTTAAATGTCTCTTTATTATTGATAAACAAGACGCATAGGAATGTTTACAAAGGCATGTAATCTGACGAAGAGTGTTGTTTAATTTAATTTCTAATTGTTATTCGAAAACGCTCGACATCTTTAAGTGTGGGTCTACCACGAACAGTGCGTGCAGTGTTTACAAACACAGTGCAGTGTTTACGAACAGTGAAAGTAGTTTAAAAGTTAGTAAAGGAATTGGTATAATTGCCAGGTTAAGACATCTTGTCCCATTTGCCACACTTCTTAACATCTACCGCTCCTTAATTGAACCCTATATCTCTTATGGTCTGATTGCCTGGGGACAAGCTGCTAACACTCATTTAAATAAGGTTCTCATTTTACAAAAACGTGCTCTACGACTAATGTATTTTGCGGATAGCAAAACTCATAGTGCCCCGCTATTTGTTAACTCCAGAATCTTACCAATAACTATGCTCTATTCTCATTTGGTTTCCTCTTTGATGCATGACATTGATAATCACCGTGCCCCGTCTAATATTTCTATGCTCTTTCTCCACTCCGAGCAGGTTCATCACCATTTCACAAGATTCTCAGCAACGGCTAATCTATACGTTAAAGCGTCTAGAACTAACCAACTTTTATTTTCTTTTGCTAGAATAGGTGTAAGATTGTGGAATAGCATCCCAAAAGAACTTCGTATTAAAAACAGAACCCCGTTTAAGCGTGAACTTAAAAATCGCCTGTTAAAACTTTTGGAAAATGAGGAGATGAATGTTGATATACGCTGCTCAGAAATTTGTAAATATCTCTTGATAAAGTAACTCTTCGTTTAAGTCTTGTTTCAATTGTATTATATATCTTGATAACTTTGCAATTGATTATTTAATTATTCAACGGACTTAATTTTATTTTATTTTATTTAACAATTGTATTTTTATTTAATGATTATCTTTGTTTAATTGTATCGGTATGTGATCATTAGCAGAGACAGCACTTGTTTTAGAAGGGTGGCCCGCCTAGAATAGCTTGCTAATTGCGGGTCACCTAGGACTGTGATAATATTGTATTGCTAACAAATAAATAAATTGAATTGAATTGAATTGAATTGAAAAAATTGAATTGAATTAAGCGTACGAGAAGACATATTTACCCTTGAATCACGAAGTACCTTTCTGGGCGCCATGATAACCATGTGCTTTAAAGCTTACCTGGGTATATACTTCACAACATGTCGTGTTTTGTTTGTAGATTGTCATACTTCTTTGAAAGGTCTCAAGTCTTCATCTTCTTCTTTCACTTTAACAAGCTTTTAAGCTCAAAACTTAGAGCGCTCAAGTCAAGCTTTAAAAAGCTTGACTCGAGCGCTCTAAGTTCTGAACCCGAATGGCATAATGCCGTAACTCAGCTGAGCGAATATAATACTTTCAAACTGAAAATTATCTGAATATCACCCAAATGAAGACATTCTTCCACTCGAAGCTGAAGACAATTGTCAGTGAATCCCAGCTCTAATACGAGTGAAAGGACTGGGTCAATTACTGGTAAGCCTTTGTTCCAGTTTCATAGCATCGTAGACTTAATGCAGTAATTCATTTCGCCCAAAGGCGAAAAAACATTTTTCAATTTTTTTCACGCCTAGCGATTGAGTGCGGCTTGCTAAATCAACTCACCATAGCGCTCTTGGTAACAGAAAGATACACTAGTTCGGAGAGCGAGAGCGTCTAAGTTAAAATGACTGTTATCATTACAATGAAAGTACTCAGACAATAAGGTACTGTCCAAATTTCTACAAACGATTTGTATCCAATCGATTTACACTGCAAATGATATTGGAAAATGTTTTCACAATTGCACTAATATCACTCAGTGTAAAGGATTGATTGCGTGAACTTTCATACAACCACTGTTGTGCCAGATCTTAAGGAAAAATACAAACGCACGCGTTCTAAATAAGCCTACCAGGGAAATTAAAAAAACTTGATGGAAAGTTTGGATTGCGCATTAGAAAGGGCACAATCTATAAAATGACAGGCTGTGGTCCTCTTAAGAGGTTTAAAAAGAAGCAACATCTTCGATGGCTAACTCACTGTGTTCCAATGGAAAAAAAAAAAAGTAGTTTACGAAGAGTACACCTCAATTCTTATCACACCAGAACCTACTAGCTAGAATCGACTCCATGCACTTCCGTCGAATTATTTTGAATAAATCAGTGCTATCCATTGGACTCGTGAGGATAAAAGCCCCGTAGAAATTGCTTCATTCATAAAATAGAAAAACAATTAAAGTTTCATTCGTATTACATCCTTGGAATGCTGGGACAAAATGGAAGTTGAATCTAACTTCACATCGTCTATGGGTGCACTATGCGCTTGCTTTTGTTCCTAAAGCCGTTTCTGTCAATTCATATCCAAGATGATTTGAAAATATCAACAAAGTTGAAATGTATATGAGAATGATCCTTCGCAGTAAAGCACTATTTGAGCAATAGTGAAAATCAGACCTGAAAAAAATTTCAGGCCTGTACGGGACTCGAACCACTGACTTCTGCGATACTAGTGCAGCGCTCTACCAATTGAGCTAACAAGCCAACTGGGAGCAGGCCATCAAATTAATTCGATATAAACCCGTAGATGATAAATCAAACAACAACAAACATATGAAACATATGTGTGAACTGCGGTTATGAGACGTATATATTTATCATTATAACTTCAAAGTTTCCTCTTTACATTTTATTTCGGAACTATCTTCCTCTTTCCGTTTGGTATTGTTTATCAACCCTTTTGCTCTCATAATATGCAAGATATGTCTGGAAAAAAATTTCATCGGGAATAAAATTTTTAGTCCACTCTTCTAGTATAGCACCCAATGGCGCGAGATAGCAGGATTTTCTTCGTTCGTCTGACCCTTTTCCTTTCGAGGGAAACGAGTTTAAGAGTTGAATTCTGTGACTCGTTACCCGGGTTCGCTTATAATGGCAGCAACTTAATTAGGAGAACATATGGCTTGCACGAGAAATTCTTCTTCTGTTGGAAGTAATCAAGCCAGGACAAGTAGTGTAAGCGTCAACCAAAACGCAAAAGATCAGCTGGAAAACAAGGATTCTTTCCTCCGTAGCATTTTGCAGAATAGTTTTTCTATTTCTTTTTAGAGTAAGAATGGTTTGTGATTGACATATTAATCAAACAGTGAAGTTCTTGTCAAAGGATTTTAGTTTAATGCTACGACTGTCAAAATTTGGAAAGTGCAAATTTTTTTTTACCAATTTTTAGATTGCCAAAAATTGGAAAATATTTGAATTCGCTTCGAAACAGAAGATTTAGCCCTTCTTTGATTAAAAGCTTTGTATCGAATTATCATTTGGTTATGTTTTCTTCCTTGCTTTTTTATCGATAGTTTGGAGCAGCTGGCAAACTTTGGGCTACAAGAAAAAAATTGCATACTGACTTCGAATTTCGATCAACGACCGTGTTAGAGGTGACCCCAAGAAAATTCGGCAACTTGTCTTCTGATTTCTGAATAGCATTTTTGATTCGCATCTTTCCTTTCTCTCTTTGTGGGAACGATCTTTATTTTTCTCTTCTTTTCTTTGTTTTTGTTTTGAGTGTTTTTTTCGAAAACAGAGTATCAAAAAATATTAATCAAGCATTGCGTCTGTTTTTCTCCTCCCCAAGAAATTTCGAAGTATTTGAGGGTTCGCGAACGAATACTAAATAAGTCATTCGAATTCGGGCCCCGCGCATTAAGGCTTCATTTCATGTATGAGACAAACGAGGAAAACATCACGATCCCTGCTTTTGAAGTCTGGCTAGACGTGCTCATTATCTTAACGGGAAATATCAATTCTCTATCAGGATCTCGGTGATGACGACACATTGAATAAGTGGACCAACATCCTTATCTATTCCACATCCATGGCGGATGTTTTGCTAGCTTCTGTCAACTTAGAAATTCTCGGCTTCAGGCTTAGGTTAAGGTTCGAAAACAGCTGGCGTTCTTAACTCATTTTCAATTCAGGTCCTGACGTGTTTTACTTCCTTGAATCGGATGTTGGGTTTTTCTGGGTTGGAAGTTCACACCTCACTATTCTGAAAACAGCTTGCATTTTTGAATTCAACTTTATTAAGGGTATACCGTGGAATTTATGTGGGAAAGAGCGCTAAGTCGTCCGCTGACAACACTAAATGATTTTTATCTAAGATTCTGGTAGCATTACACTGAGGGCCACTCATACCATCATGCGTCCACACCAAAAACTTAACAGAACTTTTTTTTTTTTCTTTTTGACTTGGTC